GTTAATCTGGAGTCAAGAGTCACAACTATGGGGCTGTAACTGCTTCCTAGGCAGAAATTACTCTATTCAGACTTTATATAATCATTGATGGCTTTCCAATGGTGTAAAAAGTTAGTGTGGTGTCAGTAAAATTGAAAGAATAGCAGTTTCCCCAGAAGTCAGCGTACTGCCCTACCTTCTCCTACCATTCTGAAAATTGCTGTCTCCTACTTACTCCACAAACATTTCCTACAGTAAAATCCTCCACCTCTTTCTTTTTAGAGGGCTATCAGAATAAATACCACAACACACTATCTACGTAACTTAAAGTTTCTCATACTTGCCTTGCCAACGTTGTAATCCTTTCACAACCCCATAACAATCGCTGTATTCTAAAGACAACGTTTGGGGGGAAATATTTTAGAGAATTCTGCTATTATATGTGAACTCAAAATGCCATACTACAAGAATATAGTTACGGTGTACTTTAAATAGAGGCGTATGTCAAGCAATGAAGAGGTCTTTCTTAACAGTGAGTTTCTTCTATTATAATGCTTGAGGACTATGCGTATTCCACCCACTCCTTGCAGGTGCTGCTGTTGCACCAGAAAGGTGTTTCTCCTGCTGCTTTTAATACCACGTCTTTGTGACAAGCTCAGAGACCAACCAGCGTACTCAGGCGATTCATCTATGCAAGCAGAGCGAAATACGGCCTGTAACAGTCAAGGTAAATCACGAACGGAGCAGCCAGCAGCATAGCCACCTGCTACCGCACACGCTGAGAGAGCTCTGCAGTTAATTACACTTTCAGAAACTCAGTTTGATCCCCCCCCTCCCCAGCTTACTGACTGCAGTGGAAAGGTTTCCGCGACGCTTTCGCACTTACTAAGCCCTGACTGAGCGGCACGGAAGTGACAATCTCGGGGACGACCTGGACACCTCGGAGTGGCTCAAGGCGTAAAAGCGCCCTCTCGTAGCATGAGGCAACACGGAAAGGCGCGAGAGCCCAGGGCGCTCCCTGAGGCGCTAACGAG